TGCATTCACCCCTTATGAGCAGTCAGTGATTATGTTAATTAACATTCTTAGCATAGATAATATATCCTGCATGGATGCAGAATTTTGTGCTATATTTTACTGATAATTGTACTAATACTGTGTATGATATTGATGCATTTCTCACATCGGCATGTCTCGTTTCCTGCTTGTTTTGCAGAATTCTGCTGCTAAATAATTTGTCATACTAATGCTAAATAAACTGATAAATTATTTATTATGAATTTAAAATTTAATAAATAATAATTAATAAACCAATTAAATTTGAGTAAGAATTCACGAGTATTCCAGAGACTTTAATTTATAAATGAGAACCTCAGTGTTTAAGAGCACGTGAGGCCGTGGCTATCTGGGGCACCGCTGAGTGACAGTGTCACTAGTCACAGGTTGATGCAAATTGTCTGTGTGGGCTGAATAGCCCTGGGAAGCACAGGCAGCCTGGAACAATCAGCGTCTTCATGGCCGAACAGAATGGATTCTTCTTAAGTAGGAGGGCTTGCTATCACTTTTGAATAATGAGTTGATTGACAAACATATTGTAAAGAATAGGAGGATTTCTGAAATGTCTTCTTCTATTTTCCCTCCTCAGGGCAACTGTTTTTCATTATTACTATGGGCTGTTTCAGGGCTTGTATTCCATGGTAGTTGTGTGTGGGCAACAGTGAGTCCTTCATCACCTAACTGTGTATAATAGTACACAGTGTTAGAGTATGTTTTTTTCTTGGTAATTGTTGGTAGATCCACTTCCTGGTTATACTTAAAGTATCCTGTTACGGTACATTATTGAAATGTTAGGAATGTTGGCTGTAGTGTGGCATATTCTAGTACATTATTTATTCATCTTCCAATATATTAAATACCTCCTATTTTTTAGACACAGTAACTGAGGTTAACTATATGAATTGATTTAAAATGCACTTTTTCTCTCTTTTGAGCTAAAAGCAGGATTTAATTGGGAAACCAAACATAGCCAAAGGCTCCTCATCTCCAGAATTGTTCTGTAGCCAAAAAAATGGCAAACTATTAGCACTTTTACTTCTTTTCACTGTACCATACATACCCTGTTCTGACTGAAAACTTTTTTTTAAACTGAAAATTATATGCATGGAAGAGCTGCTGTTGTTTCCATTGGCCTTCCCTTGGGAATTTTATTACATGATAGGAACTCCATGTCATATCAAGTCATTTAGAGTCCTGATTTAACAGTTTTGTTTTTAGGTAAGTATGTATCTGAGTCTATCACATTTTAAGCTGTAAATAAGAGTCTTGTTTTTAACGAGTAGTTGATGTGTTGAGAATCCCACTACCTCACACATAGAAGTTCTTTTAAGGTATTTTATAGATGAGCTTAGCTTGACTTCAAAGACGTAAAAAGGTCTTTCATTAATAAATATTAAAGTAATACATAATATTTTAAAAGAAACTAATTCACGTTTGTGGGAATTGCTGTACATTTACTGAGAGGAGCTGTAATAATTGACATGATTTATCTGAATAAGTCTGAGAAGAGTCTTATATAATATAAGAACAATTAACTACTGACCAGCCTGTGTAGCCAGATGCTTATGTGTGTGACTGCTTTCAAGATTCCTTCTAAAGGAAATGATGGGACTTAAGTGTTTGCCTCCCTTGGTGTTACAGTCCTGAGATTTGCTTGACTGCATACAGTGGCAGGTGGATTCATACTCCTGGTCTAGGAACAGGGCTGTCACATAGATAGAAGCATGGGAACAAGGCCAGACTCCTCTGTCTTTATCTTCGTTTGAAAACTAGGCACAATGTACTTGTTAATACGGTAGCTCAGAATTAATTTTACTTTTCAGAGTGCCTTACATTTGTATAAACTGTGGCATATCGCTGACACTAAAGATCCAGAGCCTGACAAATGAAACATTAAGGGTTTTACACGTCATATTCACATGTCCATATCCCTGCCACAAAATGATTATGCATTCCCATTCCACATACTGCACTGATCATTTGATAAAATGCCCAGAATGCTGAAGCTTGGATTTGGATCTTGGTGCTGATCTGTCTAGTCTATATTTCTGCTTGCATCTACAAACTGAAGACACTGAAATATTAGTCAGTCAGCAAATACTGGTTGAACACCTACTGTGTGTCAGTCACTGTTCCAGGCACTGGAATGTCAGGCAATGTGTTACTTTACTCAGCTATTTGATTTTGTGGGTTTATTGCTCTTAGTTCTAATTTTGGACGTGAGCTTCTATTGCTGATACAGGCTTTATCTGCTGCTGTCACTTACAGTTTTAGCTATAAGATTTGATAAGTCCTTAGATTTATGTATCTTAGACTTCCTCTTGCAGTTGTCATTGTCATTTCCCACCCAAAGGGGTGATCAGGCTCCCTCTAAGTAGGTTTTAAAATCTTACTCTGCTTTTTTTCTTGTTTTATAGCCCAGAGCCACTTTCAAACTTCACCGTGAATTACAAACTTAAATATTTTCTGAGGCCAGCCTGTTATCGTAAATGTATGAAGCAGGTCAGTGTGAGTAAATAGAGATTAGTAGGTATGTGTCAAACTGAAAAGTTCAGGCCCCCCTGTAAACATTTTTAAAAATGCCTTTTTAACCTGTGTCAAACACATCTATAGGCCAAAAGTTTCCAACATTCTGAACGTCTAGATGCATGTAAATTAGACCGTTGACTTTGAAATATGAAAATGAAATATCAGTTTATTAGTGACAGTGATTGTATCAGTTTTAAAATAGGAAATGCTAAGAACTTTGCCACAGTTAGTGTTATGTATTTGTGGGGTGGGGTGTGTGTATTATTTTGTTTTGTTTAATGTATTGGGGACACCTTTCCATGGTCAGTCATATAGATCTATCTCTCATGTCATTTAATGACTGTGAAGTTTCCATAGTAAGGATGTGCTATCATTTATTTTTTCCATTTCCATAATGATGGGTATTAGAGAAAATCCAAAGTATGTTTTAGTGTAACCTTTATGGAAGATAAGGATTAAGTTTTTTTCGCCTGTTTTCTTTGTTATTTTTAAATACTGTAATTTGAATAAAAGACAGTAGAAATTAATTTTAAACCCAAAAGTTGATTCCAGGAAATAATAGGTTTATATCATTTACATAACTCTTAGGAATCCTCAATTTAATTATATTTCTTTCTGGTTAAACAGATGCATGTGGATGAACCATTATAAGGGCATAATTTCCTGGGCATTAATGACTGAAGAGCCCTTATACAGTAGTTTGAAGCTATTAATAGATTCTGTATAAATTCTGAGCATAACATGTTTACCAATATTCACACGTAAAGAAACAGCCGTGAATAGTGACGTATCTGTGAGAACTAACATTCGCATTGTATTGTGTAGCTGTTAGGGTTCGTTACTTTTTTGTTATAGGAAATAAATAGGTGGTGCTTTCTTACAACTTAATGATTCTTGCAAACTGTTACTTGAATTCTGTTCTAATGGAACTTACAGAGTTTCTAGACCAAATTACTTTACAGCAGTGTGATTTCATCTGATCTCTTCCTGTATTACGCTCTTTGGCCTAATTTCATTTTAGTTAGGAAAAGCAGCAAAAAATTCTTATTGGACATATTGAAAGGGCTTTTCCACCTGGGATGTAGATTTCTTTCTCTTTTAATCATTTAAAATACTCTTAAATTGAGATACAGAATACATAGTTATTAGAGTACAGTTTCTAATATGGAACCCAGTTCTCCTCCCTCTAATATGGAGTCCAGTCACATCCCACTGAATGCAGAATTGTTTGTGTGTAGCGATTTTCTGAGGAGATGTTTTATAACTTTCAACACATTTTCAAAGTGATGACATACTGGGAGTGGCAGTGGCCGCAGTGGTAGGTAGTCAATCAGTGACCTGGTATCTCGATGATGCTGTAGGAGGACCAGTTTATTCACTGTAGGCTTTGTCATCTTCAAAGGTTTTCTGGTATTTTTTTAATGAGGAAAAAAAATATTGGTAACTGAAGAGAAGAGCTGGGTAACCTGGGACCTGGCACAGTTCAGACTGGTCCAGTGGCATTCTCTGTTCTTTATATTTAAAGAAGCGAGGCTATTCCCAGCACTCAGCTCTGGATTAGACCCAACTTTTAGGAAGGCGTTATTTGCTCTCTTAACAGAGGCCTGGAAGCCACACTTGTATTTCTGTAACTCATAGGGGAAATGAATGAATATTGTAGTTTTAAAAAATAACATCATTAATTATGGATGAAGATAAAAATTAAAAAGTGAACATTTCAGAAAATATGTAAGAATGGTATATGCAAATATATATTGACTTGGAAATATAAATCCAGTGGATCTCAAAAATTTTAGTTCTACTGTCCACTTTAGGTTTTTCACTGCGGATGAACAGTGTTCTTTGTCACACATAGCTCTTCCTCCCCCTCCCACAAATAATGATCATGTAATTGGGATTACAGTAACTACTATTATTGAATCCTTCATTAACTTTAATAAAGTTCTTTAAGTTATAGTTTCTGGTTAATTTGTTTAAGTTTGAATGATTTTTATAACATAAAATGTTGTAAATGATTTATTATTTTTTCTTTATTTTTCTAAACAGATTAGCAGCTAAATTTTTTTCTATTTAGTAATGTGATCTGCAGGGTAACCACTCTTAGCTTTTCAAGGAAAATGTGTATTCTGAGTTACAGTGATAACCGGTAGAAGTCCAGTTCTGAAACATTGCTAAAGTAATTACATTCGGAAGCATCATGAATTTTGTTTTTCCTTTCTTCATTTATTATGGCAAAAACACTCCGCCACACATATATATATTAAATACTGGAAATAAAATCGTGTTTCAAATTCCCATTCTTTAAAAAAATCTTTTCAGAATTTAAGTAAATAAAGACCAGAAAGTGGCAGCAGTAATAATTTAGAATGTGATTGAACTGAGAAGACTGCGAGTCATTATTTCACTTTAAAAACTTCAAGATTTATATTAAAAGAATCATTGTCTTCTTTCAGATAAATTTGCGTCTCATCTTGGTAAGTGGGAAAACAAAAGAGTTCCTGTTTTCTCCTAATGATTCTGCCTCTGACATTGCGAAGCATGTGTATGACAACTGGCCAATGGGTGAGTGGAGTTTTTCTCTTAAAAATAAGTAACGTTAATTCTTTGTGCCCTACCTTTTTTCACAAACATTTTGAACAAGTTGTAAGTAAATAAAATATAAAAGAACAAACAAATGATTGAGGGTATAAGGCTTAAAAAGTAGGGGTGGCTGCATCCTTCCCTGGGTTTTGCTCTTCTGCTTCCTCACAGGCAAATGGTAGAGGAGCCAGTGCATCAAGTCCCTGTTTGGCCTTAGAGCTGTTTTAATGTAAAAGAAAACGCAAAATAACTAGCACACACTCTCGTAGCAGTAACCCTATTTATACCAAAACATAAAGTGAAAGGAAAGAAAAACTATCTTTAACAAATTATCCTTTCTTTGCTCTGTTCTATACATGGTCTATTTAAAATTGAGTTTGACACAAAGTTAATTTCTAATTCATGTCACTTCATGTGTTCTCTGAACTGCTACAAAGTCAAGAAGGTATAAAATCCATTTATGCTTTGGATTTTCCAGCCAGTATCATGACAGACAAAAGTTTTTGCAGGGTGTGTGTATGGTATTTCTTAATTTCTCTGGTTCTTTGCTGTGCAGTAAGACTGTCTTGCCATCCTCAAGTGAGTCTTTAGCTTATGTTTTTTTTTGAACTTTCCCCAAGTCATCTTGACTGTTTTAATGGCATGTACTGTAGTGATATGACTGTTTCAGCTGATTTCACTTAATTTTACTAGCCAATGCAGTTGGGACTTTTAAAGGACAAGACTTGTTTTAAGAGAGAACACAGTGTATACAAAATAAATCAATTAGATCAGTGTTTCTCACCCTAAAATAATATATGGAGCTCTTTTAGAGGAAGAATATTCTTGTAGATTCCCTAGTGCTGACTTTAAAAATAAACATTACATCAGATAGAGACATAAAACTCAAGTAAGTGTTTATCCTTATTAACTTGTATACAACCATAAAACTAAAACAGATCTACAAAGAAAATGCAAATGCAACTCTAAAACCAGTAATGGTCAAATTAACAATTTTAATGTGCCACATGATGTATTTTTGCTAAAATCAACTCGCTGCTTGCACCGTGACTGTGGTGCTGTTGAGTCTGGCATGCCTCTGCTGCTGCTTGCTGTATGAGAACCCAGTTATCTGTGAATTCACCACAGAACCTTCATTCACACACTCCACCAAATTGTCATTCAGCCTTCACTTAGCAAGAATGCATCATTTATGTATTAAGTCGACCTCTGTTCTTTTCTTGTTAACCTCTTGACAATTAAAGAAGTACTGCTTGGCACCAGCACTATCATACATGCATACGTGGGCACTAAAATCCCACGGCTGTACTTGGTTATAAGGTAATTATTTGATTTATCTATATAATCTCTTCCAGATTATCATTAAAATGAAAACACAATCTAAAAGCTCTTGAAGAGGACTTTCAGACCATAAGAACATATTTTTGTGAATTCATAGACCTGAGTTTAAGAAACGCTGATTTAGACAAACACTTTGAAATGACTGGCTCTTTCTTCCCACAGTCACCAAGGGACAGGTCAGTGCTAGTTCTTAAATCAGGAAGAGACTGAGGCTAAGAGTTATAAATAAGAAGGAATCTCAGAAAAGCTGAAGTAAACTAAACTTGGGCTCTTAGAATATTGGATTTTCTTCATAGGCAGGCAGGATAGATAACTAACAGTATGAAAAACATTTAAAAATGTCTGATAGTGCTGTTGTACTAAGTATAAAAGATTACTTCTGTGATTTTTGTAGAGGTGGAGACATCTACACATATTACAGAAAAGATTACCATAACTGTAAAAGGTTACATTATAACTAGAGTTAAAAGAAATACTTCTACCTTCATAATTGTTTGACTTAGATTAAAATTAATATTAATTCCTTAAAATATCCTGATTAATGGTTAAACAAAGGTAAGACCCAAGTGCAGATCTTTACCATAAACAGTTTCCCAAACGAATGAACCGTCATCTACCAGTGTTGGAAATTGATTGTGTCAATTCTGCATTACTTGTTTTCATAAAAAAAGCTTTTGAACCCAGGCTTTCCTCAATTTGCCAGTTCTATTCAGCAATTTTAAGACACTGCAGAAAATAAAAATAAATAATTTAATTTTCTTTTATATAAAATATTTAAGTTAAAAACCTTGGTCTATATTGTATCCATAATGCAGTAAAGGTCAGCAAATGTAAATATTGGTGCTAATAATAAAAGTCTAGTGAATATTACATCAGTGGAAGGAGATACTTTGTGCAATGTACTTTTGGAAGGATTTTGTTTTCTTGGTATACTCTTGGGCATCTTAGAAGAATATTGTTAATAGATGGATTAGTCAGCCACACAGCTGTTATCGGGTCAGAGGTCCAAAAAAATAACCCATTAAGTGTATGTTGCTAGTAGCTGAAATTCCTCCTCTAAGCATTGTTCTTCAATAGGTCTCTCTAAATTTCAGATCCTCTGAGAGAGGAAGGGAGATAGTGTATTAAACCAAAGAAGCACATGGAAATCATGACACTCTATATAATATAATGAAATATATGGCTTTAAATTTCTTCATCTCAAAAAATACCTTAAATATTTTTAGAATTTTTTTCCCTGTGAATCAGACAGTTACTGTCATTTGTCTTTATATCTATGGGACACTGCCATCTTGACCAGGAATATTCATATACCTGATAAGGAGCTAATATCTAAAATATATAAGGAACTCATACAATTCAACAGCAAAACAAACAAACAACCCAGTTTTAAAATGAGCAGAAGATCTGAATAGACATTTTTCCAAAGAAGACATACAGATGACAAACAGGCGCATGAAAAGATGCTCAACATCATTAACCATCAGGGAAATGTAAATCAAAATCACAGTGAGATGTCACCTCACACCTGTTCTGAAGACTGTTATAAAAAAGATAAGAAATAGCAAGTGTTGGTGAGGATGTGGGAAAAAAGAAACCAATTTAATCGGTGCATCCATTATGGAAAACAGTATGGCGATTTCTTAAAAAATTAGAAATAGAAGTACTATATGATCCAGCAATTCTGCTTCTGGGTATTTACGTGAAGAAAATCAGAACACTAATTCAAAAAGATATATGCGCACCTATGTCCATCGCAGCTTTATTTACAACAGCCAAGGTATGGAAGCAACCTGAGTTCCCATTAGTGGATAAATGGATAATGAAATTGTGATACACATACACACAATGGAATATTATTCAGCCATAGAAGAATAGTGAAGTTGCCATTTGCAACAACATGGACGGACCTGGAGGCATTACGCTAAGTGAAATAAGTCAAACAGAGACAAATGAATACCAGATGATCTCTCTTATATATGGAATTAAAAAAAAAAAAGCCAAGCTCTTAGATACAGAGAACAGATTGGTGGCTGCAAGAGGTAGGGAGGAGGGTATGTGGGAGAGATGGGTAAACTTTGTTTTTTTTTAGTTAAAATGAATTGAATAAAAATTGTTTTTTATAAAAGAAGATTTATAGCAAAATATTTTAATTCTGGCATTTTAACACAGAGGACATTTAACACAAAATAAAGTTTGACCCGAGTAAAATTAGATTAGGTAGAAATTATCATGACAAAATAAAACTAACAATGCTAAAGGGAAAATAAAGAAATATTCTATTAAACAATAATTTCGGGTATGGTGAATTCAAAGTAATTCATACAAAAGTGCTGGTGACTTAACTTGATCTTTCTTCTAGAAGAGGGACCTCGGAGCACTGAGTCAGAAGGCAACAACGGCTTCCCAGGGGAGGGAGGGACAGGGCAGGGGGCACAGGACCTGGCAGAGAACCACTGAGATCCTTTTCTCCTCTGCCCTTTTCTGTTTTGCCAAGTCACTGAGAAGCACTGGTTTTATCAAATTCATGTTCATCATTTTGAACACTCAGAAAAAGGCAAGAGGAAAAGTGCTTTATTTACCTCCTTTCTCTTCTGGCACTCGCTCTTCAGGCCATTTTAAACTGACTTTTGTGTTGATGGTTGTCACCTCCTAATAATAGGAGCTTCTGTAGAAAACAGACACACGATTACTAGAATTCCTGAGAAAGATGATGGTGGAATTCTCAAATCTTTATCAAAATCAGAGCTTAGATTATTATATTTGCAAGCTAGTGAAAATTACTAACCCCATACCCTGCCATGGTAACCAGTGTCCTCAAAGCATTATTTTAACAGAATCATTTCAAATTTTACTGTAATGTAAGTTATACACTAAAATGAAATACTCTCTTACTCATCCTGCCCACCAGTTTGTCTTCTGATTTTATGTGTACACTATTCTAGATTCCATATTTGTATAGTACCTCCTAATATATATTATTTTTCGAGTTTCTTCTGAGTATTTTGGGTAAAGTGAACTGAAGTTGTATTTTCTGTAGTATTTATCAGTTGGCTTAAAAAAATAACGTACAAATCAACATTATCCAAAAGTAACTACTGTGGGGTTTTTTTTGTTGTTGTTATTCTGTGTTTGAAATTTTTATTCTCTAGTTATTGAGGTATAATTTTTTGTTACACTCTGCATCAGTATATTCTTTTAAAAATCTGTTAAACCTATTGTGAGCCTAACAGGTACAAATACTGGAACATTATAATATTTTCTGTTAATTAGTGGTATTTACAATTGATTTTCAACTGACTTTTTTTTTTTTACTAGGATTGGCTTTTTCCCAACTCATTTGTTTTAATTTTTAAACTTCAGGACTACATTTGGGCACATTTTAGTAAGCTTTAAGAAGCAAAAACTAGTCTTTCTTCAGCTCTTGCTATTTAATGAGAAGAACTAGCAAGAACCAAGGCTGCAGTGATTTCAGGAGTAGTGACTTTTCCAGTTATTGGGAAGCTCCAAGTGCCTTCTCTGATGTTGTTCTATCTGGCTTGGATCTGAATTTCAGAACAGTGTAGTAATACCTTAATTTTGTGTGAAATACTCCTAACAATTCCCTGGTTCTTTTCAGACTGGGAAGAAGAGCAGGTCAGCAGTCCAAATATTCTACGCCTTATTTATCAAGGACGATTTCTACATGGAAATGTCACATTAGGAGGTAATATTCACCTTTATAATGAGATTTAATGCCTCTCATGGCAACATTGTTTGTTTAAATGCCAATGTCTGATTTTACTAAAAAATATTTCAAACTATGAATTTTTCCTAGTTTTTGATATGTCTACTATCTTACATTCTGCATTCTGTTTAATTTTAGCACTACAGTTACGTGTTTATTATCTTGTAAAATAAACTCTAAGCCATTATAAGATGGGTGTCCATACTATTATTTTATAAATGTAATTGTACTTCTGGATAATATAATTTACATGTGATATTTTTACATTGAAACCAGACACACAAACTAGGAAAAGTTTATGATAATTGATTTTTAAATATAATAATGAAGAGATGTTTTCAGTTTGACTTTAACTGGTACAATTGCCGATCATGCAGGAATAAAGGTAAAAGTAATGTTAGAGAAGCAGTGTATTATAGTGACTGAGAGAGCAGATTTTAGAGCCAGACTGCCCAAGTTGTATCTTAGCTCTACCACTTGCTGGCTCTGTCACCTTGAGCAACTTATTTCACTGCTTTTTGTCCTCGTTTGCTCATCAGTAAATTGGGATGACACTAGTGCCTACCTCACAGATTGGGAGGGTTAAATTAGTTTATATATTCGAAGCACTTAGAACAGTGCTGGGCACATATTAAACACTTTTCATTGTTAGCTGTTGCTACTCTTTATATGTGGATGAAGAAATGTAGCTCAGTAGCACCCCCTTATGGGGGATATGTTTTCTACTATCAGCAGTATGTTACTATAATTAGAAATTTATAGGCAAGTGAAATGATCTACTTTAATATATCTTTGTTAAATATAGTCTTTTTTCTCTAAACCTAACAATGAAATGTTTAATCTTTTTTTCCTTGAGTAGAATATTTTCACTCATTCATTGATTCTTTGAGCATATATTTATTTCTTATGAACAACACTGTACTAAGTTGGAGATACAGGGCTGAATGAGGTGGCATTTCTTCCTTCATTGTGCTCTAGTATTACATAGTAGACACAGATAAAATTCACTTAAATACCGTGTGACAAGGGCTGGAGTAGATGATTGCAAATGATTATTATGACAATATCAGGGAGAACATTTCAGTATGTAATTTAACACAGGTTCTGGTGGCGGTGATAACCCTGGTCTGAAAGGTGATGCTATCTGCTATGAGATATCTGCTGTTCAAATACAACTTTGGGGGGTTGTAGTTTTTTATCGCTCTTTGTGTAGTTCCATGGACAACTCTTAATATATGGCTATATTGTGCATTCATTAAGGATGAGGCCATATTTTAATCCTTTTTTGATCATCTGTGTCTCATAAGCTCTTGTGATGTTGATCAGTAAATGTTGATTGAATTTATTAATCTGTTTGACTATATGAGTGAGTCTTGAGACTCCATTTCCCTTTTTTATTTTTTTAATGTTTTTGGGGGGAGAGAAGTAATTAGGGTTTATTTCTTTTTATTTATTTGTATTTTATTTTTTCATGGAGGTACTAGGGATTGAATCCAGGACTTCATGCATGCTAAGCATGCGCTCCACCACTGAGCTATCCCCTCTGCCCCTCCATTTCCCTTTGAGTGTTGATCCAAGTGAGCAATTCCTCACCAACTTAATTCTTTAATTACCTTTCTGTTGTGGCCTCAAAGTTCCAATTTCATATTAAAAATCATAGAATTTGTGTTGAAATCAACTTGTTTTGGGGGGGGGGAGTTTGTTTTCGAATGATTAACAGATTGACTTATATTATTATTGGCATTCTGTGTTGCTCTCAGTCTTTTCAAAATTAAAACAAATCATTTCTGGTTGTAGTGATTTAGACAAATAGTCTAGAAGTGTAACCTAGACCTTTCAAGTTGATCCATGAATCTAGGTAATAACTTTCAGCTATTTGTGGTTTTTTGGTCACTGTTTTTCTTTTGTGTCCCTGTATTCTTGAATGTGGATTATAAAGGAGACGGCACATAGGGTCCTGTGCTGGAGTGGCTCGTGTGGAGAAAGCCTGTGAGACTTGCTGTGTGTGTGTAACCCTGTGGGCCTGAGATATTTCTTTATAAATGCAAATTTCCGCATGCCCACCCTCACCTCCCCCATCTCCCAATCCACTACCGATTTGAAATCACCAGTGATTTTTATGTAAAGGGTGAAAATCTCTGTTCTGGATTCTGTGCAGCGTCACAGTAGGAAGCAGAAGCACACAGTGAAGGAGAGAGAAGGCATCTCGGATTCCTGTCTCCCTCTTCCTTTACCTTCTTTGACAGGGTCAGTCTCAGTATCTACCATTTCCAGCTGATATTCAGGTGGAGAAGAACAGTGACGGTCCCATCAGTCCGATTTGTAGCTTCCCGTGGTCAGCCCCTCCGCAGCTTCCTAGGTCTGTCCAGGGTTTCTCTGAGTTTACCCTTCAGTTCACTTACCTGTTCTCTGAGATCCATTTTCCTTGCTTCTCAAAAAGATGATGGTAATAATGATCATGGTAATACTGATGGATTGCTTTTTTGTGTCAAGCCCTGAGGTAAGCCCTTTCCTTGGATTGTTTTGTTTAACCAATACAACAGCAAGGTACAGGTGATGGAACTACTGTCTCCAGCTTAGGTGGAGGAAACTGAGGCGTAGGGAGGGGTCAACAACTCATCTTCTGGTCAGTAAGTAGCAGAGACATGACTGTAAACCCAGGTCTGGCTTCCTAGAGTCAGGAAGGTAGTCTGAGAGTGGTACCAGCTTGGTATGTAGAGATTGTAAATTCAGTCAGGCTTTCTCAATACATGTAGTGAAAGTTTTAATAATATAAAGTCTTGTTTGCATTTCAGTGTTAAATCAGGCCTAGGAGATTATCCAATAAAGATCCTCCTCCTTTTCTCAACCTAATGTGCATTTTGGGTCATCACATTAAATTGAACTTCGGAAGTTAAGAGAATAGACCAAATAATGGCTGGCCATTTTTTTTTACATAAGACGGAAACTCCCCTTGATTGTGTGACATATTAGTAACCTTGAAGATAATCAGGCTCTTGTTAGCCATCATCCTGTAGAGCAAGATTTAAAAAGCAGGTAGCGGTGGGGGCCATACTTGCTAAGTAATGAGCCAGGGCCACCTTAGGTTCATAGTTGGTGAAGAGAGAGTAGTCTGAGATGTCAGAACTAAAGCATCACGACTATGGAGATAATTCTACAAGATGTACCGGCCGCTCCTAACTTTATTCACTGTGACAAATGGATTTACCCTGAAACTTTCGCTCAGATGGTTCATGGACACATGGGTGTGTGCTCTGTTACTCTTTGTCTGAAATAGTTCAGAATAACATTTTTTTGTTACATATGAATGAGGAAAACCTCTTAAAGACTTGACTAGAAAACAGTGATTACTAATAATGCCGATAGTGATTCTTTTTTTTAATTTAAGTATAGTCGATGTACAATGTGTTAATTTCAAGACAGTGAGTCTTTTAAAGTAGCCTTTTTAAGATTATTTTCTAATTGAGAATAAGTGTTTAAAATTAAGTTTGTCATTTTTTTCTATTTCTACATCAGAGTGGCCTGTCTGGTGCAGAAATTTTATTATGTGATTATAATTAGGTTTAGAAACAAAATATCTCTTAATCTAAACTTTCCCCTAATTTAGAAAAAATTTTTTTAAATTCCTTCTCTCCTTTAAAGATTATCTCCAGTATTAACCAACTGTGTATTTTCTCTTGTCCCCTTAAACAGTATGTATGTATGTGTCAGACTGACAGCCACAGCTAAATAATTTCTGAATTGTAGGAATTGTTTCTGATACCATTAACCTAATCTCATTTTGTAAGAGATACTCTATCCAATAAGACGTTCCATCTGTTGATGAAGTCAAACAAAAGACCATCAGTTTTTAAATGGTTTCAGTGCTGGTTAGTGCTTTCAGTGGATCGATGTATATGTAACAAATTGTGTTCTACTTTTCACATAGCATTAAAACTTCCTTTTGGCAAAACAACAGTGATGCATTTGGTGGCCAGAGAGACGTTACCAGAGCCAAACTCTCAAGGTAAGCCACCCCCTGGAGAAGTTTCTCACTTGAGCCCCAGGGACAGGCATTTAAATCTGCCTCGGTTTTTCTTGGATATTCTAAGAGAAAGGAAGTTTTCGTAGTTTATGAATAGAGCTTGTTAAAAAAAACAACCAAATATTTTGAAAACAGACTGAAATTAAAAGAGTATTTATTATAGCTTTTTAATTTAAAAAAATGCAAGCATTCCAAAAAAAAAAGTCTCTGTTTCTTATTATGGTTCGGGTACCTCCCCTTTCCTCAAGCATTTTTATAAACAAGGCCTTTCTTCGTTTTTCCTAGGTCAGAGGAATCGGGAAAAGACTGGTGAGAGTAACTGTTGCGTAATCCTGTAAATGCCGTCTGCCAGGCGTGCTGTGATGTGGTCCTTGTCTTTCACGCTGCTGGGGCAGAGGAGACCCGACGTGGCTTCAGAAACCTTTAGGCAGAGTCCGCCTGTAAATCCATGGACCCAAACTATCATGTGAACACTGTCATCTTTTCTCATGAAAGTAAAAGAACCAAGAACATTTTTCACTATAATTTTTTTATTTCTAGTGTCTTTGTTTATGTTGAGCAGTTTTTAAATATTTGGTTTTTGAATGCAAGTCAATCTCCAGGGGAAAAGTTAACAAGTTATCTTTCATAACAGAAACCATTTTGCTGCCGCAAAAATTGCCATCACCAGAACTAACAAATCAAGTGTTCCAAATGCAGTTTGCACTAAAAAAGATTGGCATTATTTTCTTCATCAGCAGAATTTATTATATGGTTTATGGTACCTAGGAATGATCATATATACAAATTCACACTGGAAGACACTCAGCAATTAATGAAGTTAATTACTGGGCCAACTGGAGAGGAAAAAAATGGAGAAAAACTCAGCCGTGGTGGCTGCACTGGCACAGAATCCTAAACTGAGTGTGACTATTTTCACTGCGACAATGAAAAAGCAAAATGTGCCTGTTGTTTAAAGTACTCAGTAGAGGCTGATGAAACTAATTGTTTTTCCTATAACACGTGCACTCAAGTCAGACAGTCACGGCGGGCTTGTTCACACAGCACAAAAAGGGGTGAGAGCGCGTGTCCTAGCCTTAATGCGGGGGTCAAGTCCAGTCACTCGTAGACTTCCATGTGCAGAAATACTAGAAAACCTCATTTATCGGTCACTTTTATGTATTTGAATAATAGCAAATTGAAATTTTCCATAATTACTACTCATCTCTGTGTCCAGTGTCACACTCATTAGAAAGTTCAGATGAATTCTTAAAATTAAAAAATTCTCCATAGTACTAATTTCATTTCTTTATGTAGTTTGCATTTCGTATTAGTGCTTGCAGTTGTATTAAAATTAAAAGACAGTTTTTTAAGGCATACATGATTAGGGATGTCATTCTTTTGTTTGTACCAATAATTTAAAAATTGATATGCTAAAAACAATTTGCACAGCACTAAAGCATGAGCTAGTTTCATCTAAATCTGTAAAAAAAAAAAATAAAATAAAAGATTTTATATTTTTTCACTGGGAAGAAATTCTTCCTGGATGAAATTTCAGATATGTGTAGAATATATTTAATAAAAAAACTTATAAAATACCTAACTATAGAACTTAAATATAGATTGGCGTGTAGTATATAGAACAATATTCCATATAAATAACTTTAGCCTTTATAAAAATGAAGTTGCAGGTTGACATTATGTTCTGTACTGAAATAAATGTCCACAGCCCTTACAAATAGTAAGTGTAAATGGTTTCAAATGGTCAGCTTTGTTTAAAGGTAATCAGATTACTTTATTCATTGTTAATGCTTTGATGAAGAGGCTTTATATGCAGTAGATCTACGAAAACACTGTTCATACTGATCAGAATTAAATTTGTATAGAGCAGAGTTTTAAAATGAATGTAAATAGCATTAAACATTTTCTTTTCTGCAACCTGTACTTATAGAGTCTTTCTGTAAACTAAATTAAAAAAATACTGTAGTGCATTTTGGTGGTAACTTTAAAGGTCTTGATTAGGTTGATAATTGTTTGAACACTGTCTCATCCATGTTAAAATTGTGTTCTATTTTATTTTTGAATCTTTTAAAAATTTGTGTAATAGTCTTTCGTTAGTTTTGGGAGGATTCCCAGTGTATCTTTGATATTTAACTTGGTTAATTTGTGCACAGTCACGACAATGGTTAGAATTACATAGTCTCTGTTATCACTAAGACGTTCTATTCAAGGGATGTTAAATATTTATATGCTTTGTTGACTAGCTCAAGTGTGAATTCTGTTAGTGTCGACTAAAGAAGAATCTGGTAGTTACTTAATGGGGCAATTAAGCCATTTATGGCTGTATTCTTTCCTAATACGAACTACTGGTAGTTATTTTTAATACCTATTTTAATTCTAAGTACTCTTCTGTTTTTCCAAAGTTAAAGACTATAGTTAATTATGATTGAAATTCTATGATGGTTAACAATATTCTCTATTGGTTTTCAATATATTTTCCTGTGTGTTCCCACGTTATAAATTTCCCTTCAGAAGACCTCAATTCAGAGTCTGCAAATTGGATAAACTGGTTTATTTGTAGAGAAAGAATTATGTCACTTAATTCCTAGTATCATTGTTGTGCAAAATGAACAGAAGAATAAAAAGTAGCAGTAAAATTATATACTGAAAACACCAAAAATTTAGATGCCTTAATAGTATATACGTGAAAATACTCAACTTTCCCTTTGAAAATAGTTCCTGGGCCTGCCTGATGGTTGATCATATCCAAGGCTCCTTCCTATCAGCGATCCCTCTGCCAAAAACAACAGCTCACTCTCCGAAAGGTGAGAGCTGCAGAGATCCAGTCCTGTAAACAGAGCCTGAGTTACAGGCCTGTGACCTTGCCCGGCGCTGGGGTTTAATTCATCTCTTACCTAAATTTCCTAAATGTTAAGTGTTCTGGAAAAGGCAAAGCTTTTTTTCTTCATTAAAACCTCTGCATGTCTCCTTGATCTGAATTATTTGCTTTCTTTTCAAGATACCTTGTATCTTGTCATGGAAAATACAGTATCTAACATCATCATTTGCATTAAATGAGGTTTTCTCATAACATTTATCCTTAATTTTATGTCATCTTGACCAATGTTACAATAATTTCTGTTAGCTGATTGTGGTAAACAATGTTTAATGTGAAAAGAAATTAAAACTTTCTTCATCTGTTGTAGAATATTTCCCTTCTTTCAGATGACTTCTATTCCTAATTTTGGTGTAAAAATATTCTCTCTACTATTTTTGTCTTTTTTCCTTCAATTTATTTTATTACATTCTTCAGTAAAAATCAGCATTGTGTCAGCCTTTATTCTTCTATATTACCAAAATCAAAGAGAAGCGATCAAAATTTAGTGTGCTCTTATACCATCCTTATTGGTAACTGTCACAGGCATTTCTTCAGTTTTTTCTCGATTATTATTTTGTAATATAGTCACTTGTTAGCCAGAGTGACGGGGGTTGGGAGCGGGGCGGCTGGAAGAAGGACATATAACCTACAAAACCCCAGGCTTTCGGCCGTTGTCTCAGCACTGTTTCCCTGACCTGGCAGTGTGGGCTTCTCGGGCGTGGACAGGGGGTGACTGGCTGTGGCTCCCCTCAGCGCCCCCTGCCGGCCACTTGCTCTGCTTTCTCTAAGAGACTATGACATTTGTGAAGCTCTCTCAGCCTCAGGGGTAGCGGGGGGTTGAGGGGTTCTGAAAAAGTTAGTGGACAAAATTAAAGAAGAAATGTCTAATTCTTAGTAAAGTTTAACTGAGTCGTTAGTGTGCTACTGTCCCCCAGTGTTTCTCAGAGCATTTTAACAAATCTGCTCCTTGTAATGCATCTCCATTTTGACTGATACTCAGGGTTCCGGGTACCAAGCATGGGAATAGCTGGGCTTGGGTATCAGGCCTGGCTTTGAGGTCCAGGTCACTTAATCTTGGACTTGGATTTTTTTCATATATAGAGTAAGAATAATACCTATTTTATAGGATTGTAAGGATTATTTTAAAATAAACATTTAGAACACTGATTTGCCCAAGAACTTACTTGACCAACTGGCAATGCTGTCCAAAGGCCTTATGTCGGAGGTAGAGGGCTGAGCAGCAGCCTGGGTTCTAGGTGTCATGAAGATGTAGCTGACAAAAAGGAGAGAAAAAACAGGAAGACTCTGTGCAGATCTCTCACAAGTAAATCCGACTCCACAGTCACAAATTATCCTGATGAAGGAAAAAAGACATTGAATAGACATTGTGGCTACAAGCCTGCTCTCCAATCTCATTTCCACCTGGGGCCACCCTGCAAGGTCGGATTATTCTCCCAGTTCAGGTGTACTGCTAGACCCTCACTTCTGCCAGAGAATCAGCTATTTTTCACTTTCTCCCATTCCTCCACCCCTCAGTCCCCTCCCGACTCTTTGTAAAGTGCTCTTGCCGTTTACTACCCACACTGCTGCCACAACGGAGGGAAAACAGCAAAATCTATTGTCATTGTTTCAATTATCCAAACATTGATAAATAAAACAAAATATAAATAAAACATTTAATTGTTTAAAGTTATTTAAACACCTGCCTTTTGGTGGTCACTTACCATCCTGACTTGTCCCTCTGGTTCACCTGAAATTCATTTATTGGGCACCTACTGTAAGCCACGCATTGGGGGAGGCACTCAGAGTTCAAGGATATGTGAGAGTCTCCGCTGGCAGCGTTTAGGGTTGGTTTCATTCCCCATCTCACCATTCACCAAATATTCTCAATTTGCCGTTAATTATTTTCTTTTTTTCTGCTCTGCTGCCCCTGCTCCAGGCTTCATTATCTCTGACATTAGTGGATCACAGCAGCTGTCTCCTACACAGCCTTTTTCACTTAAGACTTCCTAGTGACAAATCTGGTTGTAATCATGTTTTTAGATAAACCTTTTCCAAATCATGACTCCCTTGGGGCTGAGAACTTACCATTGTCTCCTTACCTTGGATCACAGACACCGGGCTGCCCCTGCAGGGAATCCCGGGATTGGCTGGTCCACAGGCCTCCAAGCCCTTCCCAGCATGCCTTGTCAGCGCGCAGGTACAAACGCAAAACCATTTTCCCGGCTGTCGTGCAGCTAGAGTCCCAGCTTTCATTGACGTCCCTCCCGTCGCGTGCGCCCAGGTGAGATTTTGGTTCACAGCTGCGGTTTGTGGGAGGAGACCCCGGGCGCATTCTGCCGGAGCGGGTGGCGGGGCAGTGGGCTCTGCTGTGGAAGCAGTGACTCCCTGGTTTGCAGGCAGCATCTGACTCTGGCAGCTGCCTGGTCCCAGCGGAGGCCTCCGCTCCCTCTACACCCAGTTTTGCAGCGTGGTGAAGGGGGTCCTTCTTGGAGGCTCAACTTAGAGACTGTTTGTTCATCCTTCCTAGTCTCTGGGTAATACAGACCACTAAGTCCTTCCTGCTTTAACTGGCTGGCAGGGACCCTGGTTTCTACAGTCATCAGCTCTGACCAATGTACTGCCCAGCTTTAGTTCTCACTTTTTCTCCAAACCTATCAGGCGGGTGCGCTCGCTGGCCCTGGGAGTACCCTCTTCACCCCTATCCCATGCCTGCATTCCCAATCCCGCAGTCTCCTGCCATGTAACCATCCCCTGGGTCCTCTAATTCCAGATGCAGAGCTAGTCTGTCTCCCCTGGGGCTTCTCTGACCCCTTGTGCCCCCATCAGACACCCACTGAGGGTGCGGCAGGCTGGTGGCCTCAGCTACCCCGAGCCCATGGTGACCCTGGACACACTCGCCCTCCGTTTCCTTTACCATAATATATGGAGGTTGGACCCCGTGAGCACTGCCTTCTCTTCCAATTCTGAAGTCACTAAGACTCGAACACTAGAAGAAAAGCCACTTTCCAGTTCAAGAGACCCAAGCTGCTCTGGAACATATTTTAGTTCAAATTCTGTGCCATCTTTCCTCCACGACTCCAGCCCCCCAAGATTGACTGTGCACGTGCAGGTGGTTTATTTTAATTGCTGGGTAGAATTCCTGTGGCTGGCAGCGCCAGGCACTGAGGGAGCAGGAACAGAATCCTTTTTCGAGGAGGCAAGTCCTCTTCAGAGTGTGGGCGCTGTTTTCTGAACAAAGTACACGTTCCCACGGAGGCCAACGACCTGGCCCAGAGGACAGAGCGCTGGCTGCACTGGGCTGTGTCCCCGACTCCAGAAGGTCAGCACCGGGGAGCGTCCGTCTGCCCACTGAGCCTGGGGTGACCAACTGTGCAGGACCCTGAGTCCAGCATGACGTCATACAGGTGGCATCATCCAAGGCCCTTCTCCAGAGAAACAGGCCGTTCTGCTCCCCACTCTGGTGCAGGGGCTGTGCCGTCAGCAGGCAGGCAGGGTCCTCAGAGGAGTAAACCCAGGGCCACCCCAAGGAGGGGTCTGCCGGCCACTCGAGGGCGTGGGAACTCTGGGAAATGCTCAGCTCTTCCCATGCCTTTCATCTCACCTTTCATCAAAGGTTGACACAAAGAATGACCAGCTGGCAACTGCTCCTGCCTGGCTCTTGGGAGGCGCCTTACATGAGCACCCCAGAGGCCACAGATGCTGCTTTTAAAAAAGAAACAAAGCGCAGAAGTAGATTGTCCTTGGGTCAGGAGTGACACCAGACTTAACGCTATTTCCATCTGCTTTGACCTCTTCAAGCTTGGGTTTCATCTTTTGAACACACACACACCCAGGCCCAGCTTCACGTGGCCTGGAGACCAGCACTGGCCTGTTCCTTCTGACTTTGACCTGGCATCTCTTTGGTGTCCAGGCCCTTCCTTGTAAATGCCACCCACCTCTCCACGCCACCCACACCCCTGGACCCTCCCACACCTGAACCCACACAAGCGTGGCCTCAACTTTCCATGGGAGGGTGACAGTTACTGACTGCTGGGAGACCTGGGGTATCCTTTGGTCCCATAATTACAAAAGATCTTTGTAGCAAATTTCTCACAAAGTTTCTTTTTTCTCGAATTGCTTTGACCTATTTCTCTGACGAGAGCCGGGCAGTCTGCTCCTTAGTTGCCTAAAAACTCGTAGCTCTGCTTTATACCCACCTGCAGCTGTTTGCACCCTTAGCCTCCTTTTCTGTTTGTTGCCTGCACAGCTGCCCAGAGTTCACAGAACCCCTGCTGGTAATGTGCAAAAAACACAAGCCCAACAGCCACATGGGTGTGCTTTTGACACCAGGCCCACCCCCATAAACCAGTCTAACGAGTGTGGGCACACCACTTAACTTCTCTAAACCTCAGTTTCTCAATGTGAAGTGAAATAAAACACCTAGTGTCCCAGTGGCTTGATCATTGCTGAGAGTCACTGAACTAATGTTTGCCCAGAAGCCCACACATGTAAGTGCTCAAAAGATGTGAATTCCCTTTCCTTTTTTTTCTTCTTCTTTTTTTTTTTTTTTAATGGACCCACCCTAGCTGTTTTTTGTTTCTGGATGGATGCACTCGGAGGTAGGCAAGGTATCCACCCTGAACAAAGAAATAAACACGAAGACAGGAGCTTTGTGGCGCCTGACCCCTGGCTGCGAGGACTTAGTTTTAAGCAACAGGAGGGATGGGTAAATGCAAATTGGTTCTCTGTCTCAGTTCCCCAAAACTGCTGTGGAGATCCCCGAGACCAGCTCCCAAGTAACACATGCAGCCGGAGCTGTAAATAGTTGAGAATGGTCTCCAAGATCGTCAACAAGTGTGAAAGCCAGAAACCAGCATCACTGCACAATGGGTGCCCGGCCCAGGGACAGATGCAGAGCAGGTTAAAAATATGTGCCAGCAGACAAGTTTGTGCTGGTAAGTTTGGGTCAGAAAGCTTGTTTCTTCTCATCTGAGCTCTCATTTTGGGTGTGCGTTCCTTTAGGCAAATGACAACTTTAGCGGTACCCAAAAATACTTGATTTGTCAGAGGCGGGAGGTCTTCTGTGCGATGCGGGAAACAGGGCTCCTTCCCGTCACTGAAGATGCCTGTGCCGTCTTGTCAGAAGGAGAGACAGCAGAAAGCACACAAGAAACCGAAGAGACTCAAATCCAACAACTGTTTATAGGAAGGGGAGCCACCCAGCCCTGTTGTCCGGGTACACTTTCAACAGGGCTCCTGTTCACTCTGTTGATGGCTGCCTATTTGATCAGTTTCCTCGAGATGCCGTAACAAAGTACCACAAACTGGATGCCTAAACCACAGAC